CGGCGGGAGACACAGGCGCGGAATCTTAGAAGGAGAAATATCACCATGTCAGTGAGAAGCCATGGGACCACATTTTTCTACCAAATACCAGAGGGATGAGAAAAAAGGGTTGTGAGAATAAGGATGGTAGGCCTATCGCTGGACACCTTTCAGCATCCGCACAAATTATCGCGCGTGATATGATATCGGTGCTTTTTGTACAGTACGCTCTTCCGTTAGCCCCCCCCCCCTAAAAAAAAAAAAAAAAAAAAAAAAAAATTATCATTGCTTCAGTGATTCGAGTCGTCCTGAAACTCAGAGTTGTGGTGAGCTTAGGCTTTACAGTAAATCGTGAGTGAAGCTTTTATATTTATTTATTTATTTATATTTATTTTTTTCGTATTATTTTCGTATTATACTTATTTTTTGCAGAATTTTAATCATGTCTTCATTCAGTCCTGAACACAGGGATAAAAAAATTCATTTTTGTTTCTCCCGCCTTGTTTAAGCAGATTATTTGTCGCTGATTTAGCTGCGTTTGCGGTATTCGCATTGCCCCCCCCCCCCCCCCAAAAAAAAAAAAAAAAAAAAAAATCGAGACGATGCATACGGGCGGATCGGCATTTTCTCTGTAATTGTAGTTGTACTGAATTTAATAAACTGTCGCACGTTAGGGAAGCGATGTATCACAAAGCGTTATTTCGAGAAAAGTTGCTCGACGCCATTGATTGCGACCCGGCTCTGAGATCCGCTGGAGTAGATCCTTGACGACGTGAGTCATTCATTCTCCCGTCGACACGAAGGCCGGGTAGGTGGCGCCGTCTCACAATCGATATTGATTTCTTTGTAATGTGAAAATAAAAAAAAAGTGGCACGTCTGATTGATCATTTTATGAGTGCTTGCAAAATATGTAGGTTGACCTTTGCTCTCCTGACAGCAGTTCGGGCGAATCGCTTGTTGAAGACCACCTGTCAGCCCTGTATGAATCGGTCTACTCCGCTCCATTTTGCCTCCTGCGGAAAGAGAACACAGCCTCTTTCCTCCCCCTTTTACTTCGCATATTTATGTTTGCTCAAGAGTTTCGTTGGAGTGGGAAAGTGGAGATAATAATTCTGTCATGAATTATGATAGCTGTTTTGTTCAGCCTAGTGATACTGAACTTGGGTTGTCCTCAGATGCATTTATGTAATTGTTTTATTTTAATTATCATTACTATTATTTGTTATGATTTTGAATATTATTATTTTATCATTGTCCTTATGATTATTTTTATTATTTTTATTATTATAGTTGTTATTGTTATTTTCATCAACAGGACCAGCATTGTCGTCATTATTATTTTTATTGCTATCTTCTTATAGTTATTACTATTACTCATTAATAGTATTGCCTTCGTTATCATCATGTCTTATTAAGATCGTAATGATACTAGCATTGTAAATTGCTATTACATGTGTATGTGTGTTTATTTATTTTTTGATATATTGTTATATTGCATGTGTTTGGAATTTATCTGTGAAGATTGTGAATTGAGTGGATATTGGGTGTTTATATAGAGTAACTGATTTTAGATGGTATGATATTTGGATCTATAGAAGTGGATATAAGTATAGAAACGAAGAATTTAAACAGCGAATAATAGGTGCGTCAGTATGCTATAACGAGGTTAAAAACTTTGGCACAGAATGACGGCACATTTTAGGTCTCTCGCCGTGTGGTAAGGGCATTGCAGGAAATGATCTAGGGCAAGGAAATAATTTTTCGGACAGAGGGTTTAAGTGAGAAGGAACTGGGGCTTGCAATGTATATATCACCCCCCCTCCCTTCGGGGAAACAGATGTTGTGTCACTAGGGACTAGTATAGTGTGCGGCAAATCCGTGTTGCGTTGGTGGCACGGGGCCAGGTACTCTGCCAGGCACAGCTGTTGAGTAGCCGGCCGGCAGCCTCTCCCCCTGGCGGTCTACACAATGTTGCTTAGTGAAGCTGCGAGTCTCGGTCTTCTTTCCTTCTCCTTTTACTCCATCTTTCCGTCTCGAACACTTGTTTCCCCAGATATTGGAGGATATGTTGCTTCCACATACAGGCTGAGGAAGGGCAGCTTGAAATAAACACGCAGAATGCGGGCAGGGTGAGGATAGAAGTGATCTTTCAAAGACTGGTAGTCACCATGGTGCTGACCACGACCGCGAGGGCTGCCAGCTAAGTGTTGACCGTGTCGTAGCAACTGGCACTTTCTATTTTCCTTCTCAGCCATACGTGTGTCGAAGCGCTCGAATGGTGTCAGCTCAAATGTCATTTTGAAACCGCTACTGAAATTGATGTTTCTGGTTACTTGGTTCGTAACGATCATGTTCACTACATGTCTGCAGTTTGATGAAATCACTCTAGATAAGCACGAACATCATGGTTTATTTACCAGAAACGGTGAACAAATTGGATATAGTGAATGTTACCTTGATCAGCGTGCCGGACCGTCGCATAAACAGTCAACAACTTGCCTTTCTTAGTGTCTCGGCGGT